TACATGATACATACCTTTCCAGCCTTCCATATTTCAAGGAAAAGCTGGAAATACAGATTTGTCAAAAATTGCTTGGTTTGAAATGACGATTTTATAGCCAGTCTGACTTGGGGCCTGGCTTGTTAATTTGAGCTTTAGTTTGGGTTTACCAATTTAGTTGCAGTGTTTTCCTAAGTGGCACTGTTTCCTATGGGGTTTTTGTTGAAAGCAAACCTGATGCTTTACAGCCAAATCTGGCTTTTAGCTCTCCCATCTTCAGAAAGAGAACAGGATGGTTATTTTCAAGCATGAAAAGCGTTTCTTCTCTTTAGACAGAAAGGGTGAGGGGAACTCATAATCCTAAAATTTTGATGTTAATTTGAATGAAGTTCTTTCCCAGGAAAAAACAAAAAAAAAAAGTAATCTTTCAGATTAGAAACAAAACAAGGACATAGGAGATCTGGGGCTGGAGAAGACTTCTCGGCCTAGCAGTGTTCTGTGCAAAGGTGCGGTGGCACTAAACTGTCTCTTTAGCATTGTAGCACGGTCCTCATGTTCCTTGGCTAAGATCTGGCATTCAGGTCAGCCTGACCTGCCAGATATATCTGCTCGTGTTTCTGCCCTGCCTGCCTTTTTCTGTGCCTTTCCATGGAAGACGAGCACTCCTGCACTTGGCTCCCGTTGCGCAATCACCTACCTCTGTAGGAGAACCACTCCATCCAGTGCTTGAAGTCTCGGAGGTTGCAGTCGCATTCCCAGGGGTTATCCCCAACTTGGAGTTGCTGCAGGCTGGTTAACGGTTCGAAGGTCACCCTGTCCAGGCTCTGCAGGCGGTTTGACCTGAGAGAGAGGGAGCGGAGAGCAGGCAAGTCGTCAAAGATGCCCGAGGGTATCTGGGCCAGGCCGTTGATGGAGAGATCCAGCTGGCGCAGCAGGGCCGTGTGTTGTAGCAGGTCCTTGTCCAAGGCCCGGATGCTGTTGTTCCTCAGCTGGAGTTCCGTGAGGTTCCCCAGGTCATTGAAGATGTTCTGAGGGAGCTGGTCCAAGAAGTTGTTGGATAGATCCAGCCTCTGTAGGGCAGAGAGGTTGGAAAACACTGCTCCCGGCAGGATGCTGAGTTTGTTGTTGAGAAAGAGGAAGGTCCTGGTGTTTGTGGGTATGTCTGAGGGGATGGAAGAGAGGCCCAAGCCACTACAGTCCACTTCCAGGTTGCCACTGTTACACTTGCAGGAGGAAGGACAAGCAAAGAAGGACTCAGCAGCACATAGCGACAGCCAACAGCCAAGCACTGGTAGGTGAAAAGCAGGGGAGAGAGAATGCATGTGTTAGAGCAGTGCTTTCCCATCCTCACCCATCGCCACCTTGAGCACAGCTACAGCTACAATATGACCCTGGCAGCAGGACTCTTCACTGCAATGCCCTGCAGTGTTGCGACCTTCCTCACAGCTACATCCCTTTACTGTTGGCCTGCACCCTGGCAGCAGGACTTTTCTCTTAGCCTTTTTTTCATGAGCAAGCAAGTAAATGCCCTCCCAATTTCACAAGGATGTTAGAACAGTGCATCCCAGAGGACTTTGCTGACAGATACTAGAGCACTGGAACCTGTCAGAAGAGAAAGGAGCAGAGAGTGGTGGGAGGTGTCACCTCTGATAAAGGACAGCTCTTTCTAAACAGTCAGAGTTGAGAGAGGTGGGACTGGTATATATTTAAGAAGCTCAGATTTTTTCAGAAATAGACATGTTAATGAAAAGCTTTTTTAAAAAAATGAAAAAAAAACAGCCTACATCTCAGTTGTGCTCCTGCAGTTTGAATCCTGATCTTTGTGATAGATCAGACTCAGGTCTAAGTTAGCCTTTAAATCAGGGTATCATTTGTTTTCCATGTCCATGGTGTATTGTGTGGGCCTTGTGGCAAAAGACTTCATTATGAATTAGATTAGATTACAAAGGGATGACCAAGAAAACTGTTAAAAAGTAACAAGGAGACCCTAAACCTGATATTTGCCATTGCTGTCAAAATAGTTGCTGAATCATGCAGCAATAGTCCCACAAGTATCTCCTCCAACCAAAATTGCCTGTATCAATGGAGATAAGGAAAACAATTGCAGGTTGGTAGTTGAAGAAGGGGGTGTTAGGAAAAGGGTTAGCACACAACCCTGTTCTCCTGCAGTGTCTCAAAGGTAAGGTTGGACAATCCACAAAACAGCATTTTTTAGAGCTGTTGTGGATCAGCATTCCAGACACGGGTCCAGATCCTGTGAGTGGCGTCTGGGCACTAGTTACCAGCCCTCCCTGGGAGCCAGTGACTTTTAAAACTTTAATTTTTAAGTGGCAAAGAAGCGTCAGCAACAGGAAAGCATACTTTGTGCCTCCTGTCATTAGAGGAGTGGGAGTTATGTTTAAGCAGACTATGTAAAACATTTGCATCCTTCATCTTCATTCCTTTTGTGGAATTGAGATTAGTTTCTTCAATGTGGGAAGCAAATTCAGCTCCCTCGGTGTTTTTTAAAGTGACAAGCTTGAGCATTTGACTAAAACTGAAGCAGGTTTGTCTGTACGTCATGCGCTGTCCTCTCCCTTTCTCACTTTTCTTCAGAGAAGGCAGTCACTTGGGGTTAGTAGAGTGTTTTTAGGGGTGAGTGGTAGCTAAAGTGGATGCATTTATTGTCTTCCCATTCTTTCCTGGACTGGTAACCAGATTCTTCTGTCCTACTTTATTCAAAAGAACCAACAAGCAAGTGGTTTTTTTTTTTCTTGACTGCAAAGGAATTGTAAAAGGACTGCCATAGGAGAGGGAGCCAGTGGAGACCCATGCTCTGGAGAAGCTTTGTCTGGAACAGCTCTGCAGTCAGCCATGCTCCTCCTCTCTTCCCTCACCCCACTCTCTCTAGAGTTTAGTCTGACCCATAGCCCTTTTTATATTGACTTGGCTACTGTCAGCGATGGTGCCTTCATACTGAAACCCCGCCATCCTGCATAGGGCCTTTTTGTGTTCCCAGTGATCCTTGCGAGAATTGGCACATTTGTGGACTGATAGCCTAAGGAGAACTACACAGTTTGGATCCTAAGCTGTATGACTTTATTAAGGACCAAGGGATAAGTTTTCAGAGTCTCAGCTCTTTTTTTTATTTCGTCCATCTTTCACAATTCCTTCAAGAATTTTTCTGTCCTACAGTTGAGATCTCAAGTGTGTGTCAGCGCAGCGCCAATCTGTATGCTCTTTTAGTGATAATTTTGGGTCCTTACGGTGAAATACAAGAGACATCTTTACCCTGAGCGCCTCTCTGCTTTCTTGTCATGCAAAAGTTGGGGTCAACCGCAGTTTGCCATGAAAACAGATCATAGCCTGTGGACTGGCACAGTGCAGGTACTGTCTGGCTGGCTGATATATAATTCCATTCAGAATACATCGCACTCCTGTTGTTGAGAATTAAAAGAATGGGAGCTAGAGTGGGGAAGGGAGAGAGCCGTGAGTCACCCAAGTGCCCCCATCTTTTCCTGGATGCTTAACAAAAGTACAGTATTAATAATGGATTGACAGCTATGATGATAACAGCTGCTTTGTACACCAAGAAAGACAAGAACAGACCATGTGTAATGCTATACAGGTGGCATTCTGTTCAGGGCTTATCTCTGAAAATGCCTACCCACCACCAGCCCCGACCGGGTGGCTGTGGAGTTCCACCAGTATGTATGCTGGCAGTGGATGGTAGGAACAAAGTCTCAGGCAGCTGGCTGTGGTTATGTTCAGGAACTGGATTTATGCCAAGTTTCTGCAGCCATGTAGGATGTGCCAAAAATGTCTTGTTTTTACCCATATATTGCTTTGTGCTCTTGAAAATATTTTACTAAAATCATAGAGAGAAGAAGGTCTGATTTCATTTTCAGTTCCTGCAAGAGGTGCATTCACTAGGATGTGAAGTGAGACTGAGGGATTCATCGTACTTGTTCGGATGCAGCTCTACAGGGAAGAGAGTCAGGGAAGGAATACACAGAACTTGAAGCTATCTTCTAACCCTACAGAAGGATGAGTAGTACATGTTTTTGTGTTAGAGGAAGATGAAGTTACTTTGTGAGGTGTTTGGTGACTCTAGTAGGTGGCAGAAAGCTGATCCAGGTATATCCGATTAAGTCAAGACTCAGAAGCATTCATTATAAATAATGTATAAATCAGTCTAGTTTGTGAGGATGGATTACAAAGATGACTGTTTTCTGAGGAGGGAAATAATTCCCCTGGCTTCTTATAGTGGCAGCCCCAAATTTGATCAGTGGGGCAAGAACAAGGGAAACCACAGACTTGCACAGCACCTGGGCGTGCAGCAGTGATGAACAATCTCCAAGTGCTCCCTTTCCTCTGCTGTGGTCCCCAGATGCTTCTCTGAAGTGCAGGTACGTTCCCTGAAGCCCCACATTGCCCTAGCAGTCTCTGCTTTCTAGTCAGGGATACTGTAGCATGTGCCCCAGTCCACTGGGAAGGTGCACAGGCTGAGCTTTTACAATTTAATTTAAGAGATCTTCTTTAATTGCTCCTTGATTTTCACTACATGTGGCAGAGCCCAGTAGGAGAGTTCTGCATTCACATCCTGCATTCCCTTCCAAAATCTGTCATGACTTCTGCTGTGAAGAGCTGGGAGCCTTGCTCAGCAGCCTGTATAAACCCCTACCACAGAGAGGAGTCTGCAGCTTACAGGATGTCAATCTGAGAAACGTTTGGAGTGGATCTTTGTGCAGTGGTAGCTCACTGTTTCTCACCTTCCAGGCCCACTGGAATTCAGAAGCAATCATCACTCACTGTCCCACTTTAAACCCGTCTCCAGCTTTAGAGTCTCACTCTCCCTCCCAGCTAGCCTGGCCTCTAAAGGAACCAGGAATTAGTTCAAACATCTCCATTCTTAGCTGTCCCTCTCCCCTATTCTTAACCCTGATGTGACCTATTTTCTTTCCACTCCCTTGACAAACAGGATCATCGTACTTAGTACCTGAGTAGGCATTACTTACGACAAGCCTCTTGCCACCTCATGAGGAATCTGCTCCTCCACCGGTGGCCAGCAGTTGTAGGCAGCATTGTTGACTTCTCCAGCGTGACTTCACATCCACCAGCCAGCCTGGCACACAGCCCCAAAGGGAGGAGGAATGACCTTGTAGCCTGCCTGCCAGGTCCTGGAGGGGGAGAACAGAGCAGAGCAGGTGAGATTCAGTTCCCTGGGTGCAAGATACAGGGCTGGGCTCAGTGTTGTCCTTTCCCTTCCCCCACTAGAGTTTTGCCTTTGGGGCATCAGCTCCATTTTTGAGGAGAGATGGAGGGCGTTTCAGGAGGCGCAGCATGATGAAGGCACAACGTTAGTTCACTTTGAACCTTGCAGTGCAGAAATAAGGCCTGATTCACCTAAGTGCTGAAGAGACAAGCCTGTGCTTGAATAGCCTGCTACAGTAGCTACATTAGCCTCACGCTCAAGGTTAACCTGATGAATTGCTGAGGTGACCCTGCCAGAGCAGCAGACTCCAGCTCATTCCCTCTCACCTCCACGCAGGCTGGTACCACCTGTGCATCCTCTCCCTGACGCACAGCTCAGGCTCACTGACGGCTGGGCACCAGCCGCTGCCAAGCCGCTTCTCCCCCCCACCCCCACCCCGCAGTATTCCCTATCAGTGCTTCCTTTCTGTTTTAAGGTAAAATGGATATGGTGGCTAGAGCGGGGCTGAGCAGAGCACAGCTTCAGCTTGGGGAATTCACACTGCAGCAACTGCAGGAGCTGAAGAGTGAGCGAGCCTCCGAGGAGAAGGGAGGACCTGGGGCGGGGGAGACTGAGTGGGAGTGTTGAAAAGAGAGGAATTACATCTTAATTAGAAGAAGGAAAAAATGCTCAGTCTAATTAGAAACCCAAAGACCATAAACTCTCCCCTGACAATAAGTGACTGACAACAGGTTCCAACTTCCCTCCCATTTCCCTTTTCGATACAGGCAAGCAGGAAAAAGGGGAAACACCACAGACCCTCCTGTCCCCCTTCTTGCTCTCTGACGTACCACCCACGTTCACAGCAGCAGTTAGATGGACACATTTCAACCAGGCTACAGAAATAAACCATCCTCCATCCCCTCTGAGGGGTTCTGACAACATCCACAGCCGTTATTTTAGTTGGGCGCTGCACTCCCACCGGGACACTCTCCCCACACACGTGCCAGCTGCTTCCCCTCCCCCAGGCTCCCATGACTGATTTATTTTATATGGGAATGTAAACCACCAGGAAATATTCAAATTAGCATCTCGATGAGAAAGATGAGCAGGTTCAGTGCCTGGACTAGTACATTTTGCAAGCCTATTCAGATCATTTACGCAAATGCCAATGCACCAAATAGATGAATACCTGTCATGGCATCGAAACCGATTCAACCTTCACCCACTGCAGCCCCCCACTCCCCAAACCGAGCTGGAGCCCGTTCACTGCAGTCCCCACTGAAGGAGAAGCTGCAACAAATAGCTGTCCCCATTTGGTTCTTCTGCTCACCCTGGCTGAGAAGGAGACTTTCAGCCTCCCCCGTATCAGTGTCTCCGTCCTAAATGCCACCCCTGAAGTCTCCTGTCCCCAGCTGTCAGTATTGGAAAGGAGGATGAAAAGCCGCAAGCACTTACCTGGAGGGGCTCTGCCCACAGCCACTTCCACTCGACTCCCCGGGCACTGCCCAGTTACAGCCTCTTCCTTCCCTCTCCCTCCTTGACTTACACTCCCCGGCAGCAGGCTTTCCGTGTGCTCTATTTAACTCCCTACAGCACAGGAATAAATGGCAGAGTTAAGCTGACAGCCACAGAGCCTTATCTGCCTGCTGGATAGCGGGAGTTGATCAGCTCCAAATCCCGTTGCTGAACGATCGCGTCCTTGCTCTCAGCATCAGGGGCTGCCTGCCACGCTCTGTCTTTCCCTCTTCCTCACCTTCACTCCTCTAACTTTGTCAGGGTTATAGATAGCTCTGTTCCTTGCGCTCTTGCCTTTTGGCTCTGTTTTGTAACACCCCATCTGTATCAGCTGGCTCGGCTCCAATCAGGGGGGCTAAGCTTTTTTTTTTAAAAAAAAAAAAAAACCACCAAAAAACAACAGCTTCCTTGGGTGCTTCGTGACATGGCTTTCCTCTGCGGTCTCCCCTCAGCCCAGGCCCCCGCTCAGGCCATGGGCTGGTGTCTCCCCCACCCCGCTTGCTGTTCTGTGCAATTCGGCCACGCCATCCCCAGGTGACAGCAGGGGGCTGAGAGCAGGACTGGCATACCCAGGCGTGAGGAGAGTGATGGGGTCTACCCCTCGCTCCTTCTGCTCTGGCAAGGCAAGCCCAGCTCTTGCACTCGTTTCTGGTACCTCACAGGCGCCTCTTTCTCTCAGGCAGCACCAAGGCTCAAGCACAGAGTGCAGGGTGGGAGGAGCAGCCGTGTATAAATAAGCCTTTTCCCTATGTTTAGAAATTATTACAGTGCATAGTGATTAACACCTGTTCAGGCTTTAACACTGTCTCCTGTGCTGCAACACGCACAAAGATGGAGGCGCCTTGATAAACCCAAGATTATTTTAAAGGCATGTCACGTAAACACAACACTCCCTGCCCCATAGACAGCAGCCACCCTTTGTGCACTCATACACGTTTCTAAGACTTAAGCAGCTATCTCCATGTACATATGCAGATATAGTCACCAATCTAGCTTACATTTCCAAATGTGTGCACGGAGTTGGGCTTACACATGTACCGGGGACTCTTCTGCGACCTGTATTTACCAACATCCATGTCTTGCACAAAACTGCCTGCTTCTCCAAGCATAACATATGCTCAGGTGGCAGAGCAGTAGATTTGGAATGGGTAGAGGTTCCTGACTGTTGAAATGCAAGGGGCAATGAGCTTCTGCAATTATACCTTGAAGTAGTATGTTTATGGAGAAATTTTAATTCCAAGGATCCAGAAAAACACAGTTTCTCCCACATATCTATTGCCCCTAAACACTGTAGACCTTTAGCGATTAATATTCTGCAGCCAGGAGAGAGCAAGGAGGCAGAGAGGATTTTTGAGAGTTTATTTTTTAAAGGTTTTCTCTGACTCGTTTTGAATTCTGACTTAATTATCTGGTTTACTGTGGTCCAAGAGATGCCTTCTGCTCTGCAGAGCACCAGGACAGCTGCTCTCACTGCCAATGTAGCACTGGGAACCCCATAGTCCTGAGGCAACTAGCACCTGCCCACACCTCACGGCTCTCCAGAGCACCACCAAATCTGTCTGGCTGCTTTCAGCCTGACAGCTGGGGACTTTCCCAACAGCAGGGACTCTGCCAGACCTAGGAGTGCCCCTCATACACCTCAGCCCAAGACAAGAGGCACCGTGCCATCTATTCAGAACTAACATGGCATTGCCTGGGTTTGGGCACCCAATGCTGATCTGTGTTGTTGGAGCTCAGAATCCTCTGAAGTCACCCAAGGGCTCCACAAACCAGGCATTAGTCTTTCTTCCAGGCTTACTAGATGGTTCCTTCTTCCTGGAGCAACTTGTCAGCTGAATGCCCTGTGATCCATGGGACATGGTGTCCAGAGCTTTCTTCCACATGCTTGGAGTTGAATCTCTTCTCCAGATTCTGGAGAAACGAACAGAGTAGCCCATGGGGCTGCTGATGGCCTTTTCTTCTTGCCGTTTGATTTAGGACAGTAAAAGACAACTTTTTTCGTTTCAGCTCAAAGCAACAGAATGAAATCATCCATTTCTGGCCCATGGGCTCCAGTGGCCAAAAATACACTGAGCTGAAGTGCCGCTTGGACATTTGGCCTGCTGTCAGACTCTAGAGGACTCTCTAATGAGGATTCCCCTAATTAGCTTGAACAGGGAACTTTACTGCTGGGGGAGATGCTGAGGAGGTTGTAATGACTCTGCAGCACTTGCTAGGGCATAAAAGCTACAGCAGGCACTATCACTGTCTTGTGTTTCCCTTTGCCCTGCCCAGACACCAATAGCGTTTGCAGTATCACTCTAAAGGTTTAGCTTTCATAAGTCAGGTCCCAAGGAGCACCCGGTGAGGGGAGGGAGAGTTTCAGTTTACTGCATCCGCATACTGTTTTACTAACACTTCCCAATTCTGTGACACCTTCTATCCAAAGCTTTCCATCTGCTTTACGAATGGCTCTTACCATGGTTGTAGGTGGTGTTGTTACTTTGTATTTAATGACCCCCAGAAGTAAGGCTGAGGTCATAGCCAGCATCACCTCTGCTCTAGGTAGGTGGATAAAGCTATCCCATTTTCCAGATGGGGACACTGAGGCTAGAGAGACAGGTGACTGTGTCACTAGGATGAGTCGCAGCCAGAAACAGAGCCCAGCAACCTCTGTCTCTGATTATCTCTCCTAGTCCTTTGCACTAACCATTGGATCATGGCTGAGGGATCAGACTCCGTTAACAGCCTGGCTTACGAGCATTGGCAGGGCATGTGGGTGACCTATATTACAAAAGGGTAGGTAACAGAGGCTGCAACAGATGCCAGCAATAAATTATCAGGAAGTACAAGCAGACATTCATCCCTCCCCCACACTCACCTTGACAAGTGATGGCAAAGTCCCTTTTCCCCTTTCCAATGCTGAGTTGCTTTAGCCTGTATCAGAGAAGCAGCAGGGTGAGGGAGGGCATGGAGAACACTTTAAGGAGATTATCTTTTTTTTTTTCCCTTCCCTTTCCTTGTTGCTTTTAGGATTCCTGTTTATTGCCGTCATCCATAATGTAGAGGGACAGTGGTACCCCAGAGTCTAGCGATTAAAGAGCGTTGTTATGGTCGTTCATTCATCAGCCCTTGGGGGAGAAGATTTGGTACACAGAAGGCAGGGAGACATGGCAGCCGTAGGGTATGATGACAGCAAAGTTCATGAAGTAACCTGGCTGATGAGTCCTAGTGGGGAATCGTGCTCCTGACAGTACCATGAGCGGGTTTAGATGGCATGAAGGTGATGCCCATTCTTGGTCCCCCAACAGACCTAGGTCAGTCTAGCAAATTGTTGACCACAAGAGGTCACCTTGTCTCAGCGGCAGCTCCTTGTTTGTTGTTTATTTGGACTGCAAAAGCACCCAGAGGTGGCAGCTAAGCTCAGCAGCGCCATAGAAGCATACAGTGGGTGTCACTGCCCCAGTGAGCTTCTAAGCTAAATAGCTA